CTCTGGGATGAGGGCATGCACTGCCTCTCCCCGTGGCGGGCACCTGGCGCCTCTGTGACGTGGGATGGAGCCGTCTGTGCGTCAGGCTGGTCATCAGAAATCCCTCCCTTCCCACGTGCTCGCGGGGCGCCCCCGGAAGCCTGTCCTGGCAGAGCTCGTGTTCTGGCCATATGGCCCCAGTGGTCAGCCGGCACCCACGTCCTTCCCTGAGCAGGAACCGGGCGGGCAGGAGGGGACCAGGGAGGCTGGGAGTGGTGGGAGGAGGTGAGGCCCGGAGGAGGAGGGAGCCCAGGAGTGCCACGTGTTGGGAGTGCGGGGCCGTGGCCGCGGCAGGTGCGGCCCCGCAGGCACGCTCACCCCGGCAGCACCTCCGCGTGGTGAGCAGGTGTCAGGAGAGCGGGGGGTGCTGGAGAGGGTCCACGTGAGGACGCGATGGGCCCTCCTGCGCCCAGAGCCCCGGGTCTGGGGCTGACCATGGAGGGCGTCTGGACACCCGGGAACCCGGGGCCAGCCTCACGCCCTCGGGAGATGACCCGTCTGCTCCTTGGCTGTCCCATCGCTGAGGGGACAGAGTTTCCGTCCTGACAGGCGTCCTGGCTGCCAGCCACCCGCTCCCCAGGGTGGCCCCTCACCACGGTCACTGAGGTCACAAAGGGGCTGGGGCCGTCCCTGTCATATCTGGTCCCCAGAGTTTCTTTGCAAGGAGCCGGCCCTGCGTTGCACCCTCCCAGATGGGGTCCAGTTTCTAGTAAGGGGGAGGGGCAGGTGTGTCTGGAATCTGGCCAGGGGGCTTCCGGCCAGAACCCCGTCCCTGCCACGCCCCCAACCACGAACCGAGCCCCTGGCTCACCTGGTGGGGGAGGGGTGCGGACCCTTGTGGCTCCCGAGAGACAGGCGGGTGAGTAGAGGGCAGGAGCCCCTGAGACTCATGCAGTCAGCACAGGGCGGGGGGGCCAGGCTGGCGGCACTGCACCCACCGGACGCGTGGGACGTGGCCTGCGTGCCACCCCCAGATCCACGCCTGTTGGCCACGGGCCTTGCTCTCTCTAGCCATCCTTCACTCCCTCTTTAAACATGGGGCTGTTCCCCCGGAGGGTAGAAGGTCTCCTGTAGGTTCCTGTGCAGGGTGTTTGGGGCAGCGGTGGCTGTAGGAGGTGGCTTGGTGGCCTTGAAGTCCCTGGGGCTACCTGCTGGCCTGCTCTGGGCTTAACCGTGACCCTCCCCTCCCCTGGCCTGACCTTGTCCACCCTTCAGCGCACCCCCCTGCTGCCCTGTGCGTCCAGGGCTCTCCCACCGGTGTCTTGAGCAGTGAAGTCACTCACGGGGCTTCTGTTTGGCTTATTTCTAGAAACAAGGTGCAGCTTACTGTTTTCACCCATGAGCGTCCCCAGCACGAGCCCAGAGGCTTCTTGCGACTTTGGGCTTGCTGTGATTTCAAGCACAATTGGACGGTTGAATCCCTGTGTCTTGGCCACTGCTGGACGCTGCCATCCTGCCCACAGGGCACTGGGGCCGGGGAGGGGAGAGCCAGACTCACCCAGTCTGTCTGCAGTGCCCACCAGAGGTCGCCTCCTGTATGCACGTTGGGCCTGAGACATGCCCAGGGCCCTCCGTCTGTCCAGGCTGGCCTCTGAGGCCCACCAGCCGCTCCTCTGGGCGGGCACCCACCACCCCCATGGGGTAGCAAGGATGCATCTGACTCCTTTTAGGCTGCTCAGCATTGGCAAAGCAAAGCTTCCTTTTGAGACCATTTTCACAAAAGGATTGGTGGGCGGTGGACATGGGAGAGCCCAGGGTTCCTGGTTGTTTCACCAGGGCTGGGAAGACGCAGTGCTGGGCCGCACTTGAGGCGTGTGAGCCCCGGGCCCTCGGGGGACAGGGAACCGTCTTGGCCGTTGGTATGTAGCGGGCGTGTAGGGACCCTGCTGGCTGGTGGGACCGCGAGTGAGCCAGGGAAGGCCCGGCTGGGCGCTGTCCTGCTTCCCAGTGCAGCTGGCCCTGGTTCCTCCAGGGTTTAGGGAGGGGACTGAAGAAATCCTCGTGACCAGATGGCTGGCTGTGACTTCTCTGGGGTCTCCATCACCTGCACACACTGATCTCCTCACGTGTGGTTCCCGGGGACCCTCGGGTAGGAGGGCAGGGCACCCACATCGGCCTGACTCGGCTGTGCGGAGGTGACTGCTGTGGTGCTTTGCCTGGTGCTGCCACTGCAGTTTAGAATGAGTTTGGGGCCAACTTTGGAAGAGACGATGGGATCAGTGGGGCCTGGGTTGCAGGTGTTTGAGGTCCTGGAGCTCGCTCTCCTGCCTCTGCCCAGTTGGGGCCACGGCGGGGGTGCCCACTCGCAGTTGGCAGCATCCACCCCGGCTGCGGTGTGGTCGGTCAGCAGGAGCGAGGCCAGCGTCCTTGCCGCCCAGCCCAGGCGCCCCACCCCCGTCGCTGTCCCCGAGCCCCTCCTGTGAGAATCAGGGTAGGAAGGTGAGGCTGGCCTCCAGGTCGGCTTGGAGTGAGAGGAGGGCCTGAGGACTGGCACTGAGGGTCCCTGAGGTTCTGAGGGTGTCGTCCTGTCCTGGGGCCGCCCTCGGGGCCGTGTCTGGGGTGTGGGGTGACACCTGCTGCCTTACGGCTTGCTAAGTACGGTTTTCACCGGAGGAAGTTAGATCAAAGGAGCATCCGCTGTTTGCAGGTGGAAGCGTTCCGATTCCTTGTGTTTGGTGATTCCGGAGAGGAGCGTGGCTGCATGGGGTGGGGCCCGGCGTGAGTTGCGGGAGCTCTGGTAGCGCCACCCCTCGGGCACGAGTCCCTTCGCGGTGGGGCTGCTGTCCACGCTGCGTGGCCCGGGAGGCAGAGCGGGTGCGGCGGGACGGGGACCTGGGCCAGGGCGTCATGACCCCCGCCTGTGGGAGCGCGGGGGGCCTTGGTGCACGTGGCCGCATGGGGCTGAGAGGGGCCGAGGCCGCCTGGGAGCCGGTGGTGAGGTCAGTTCGGGTGCTGGACACCCACTGGGTTGCAGGCACTGAGGGCCGCCGGCGGCCCGTGGCTGCAGGCTGCACCCTGGCCCTGCCGCCCGTGTCCTGGGGTTGTGGGCTGTGCCTGGCTGGCTGGCTGGAGCTTTTCAGGAGCGGCTGGCCAGTCCCCGCACAGGGAACCGTCTTGGGCGTTGGTATGTAGCGGGAGTGTAGGGACCCTGCTGGCTGGTGGGACCGCGAGTGAGCCAGGGAAGGCCCGGCTGGGCGCTGTCCTGCTTCCCAGTGCAGCTGGCCCTGGTTCCTCCAGGGTTTAGGGAGGGGACTGAAGAAATCCTCGTGACCAGATGGCTGGCTGTGACTTCTCTGGGGTCTCCATCACCTGCACACACTGATCTCCTCACGTGTGGTTCCCGGGGACCCTCGGGTAGGAGGGCAGGGCACCCACATCGGCCTGACTCGGCTGTGCGGAGGTGACTGCTGTGGTGCTTTGCCTGGTGCTGCCACTGCAGTTTAGAATGAGTTTGGGGCCAACTTTGGAAGAGACGATGGGATCAGTGGGGCCTGGGTTGCAGGTGTTTGAGGTCCTGGAGCTCGCTCTCCTGCCTCTGCCCAGTTGGGGCCACGGCGGGGGTGCCCACTCGCAGTTGGCAGCATCCACCCCGGCTGCGGTGTGGTCGGTCAGCAGGAGCGAGGCCAGCGTCCTTGCCGCCCAGCCCAGGCGCCCCACCCCCGTCGCTGTCCCCGAGCCCCTCCTGTGAGAATCAGGGTAGGAAGGTGAGGCTGGCCTCCAGGTCGGCTTGGAGTGAGAGGAGGGCCTGAGGACTGGCACTGAGGGTCCCTGAGGTTCTGAGGGTGTCGTCCTGTCCTGGGGCCGCCCTCGGGGCCGTGTCTGGGGTGTGGGGTGACACCTGCTGCCTTACGGCTTGCTAAGTACGGTTTTCACCGGAGGAAGTTAGATCAAAGGAGCATCCGCTGTTTGCAGGTGGAAGCGTTCCGATTCCTTGTGTTTGGTGATTCCGGAGAGGAGCGTGGCTGCATGGGGTGGGGCCCGGCGTGAGTTGCGGGAGCTCTGGTAGCGCCACCCCTCGGGCACGAGTCCCTTCGCGGTGGGGCTGCTGTCCACGCTGCGTGGCCCGGGAGGCAGAGCGGGTGCGGCGGGACGGGGACCTGGGCCAGGGCGTCATGACCCCCGCCTGTGGGAGCGCGGGGGGCCTTGGTGCACGTGGCCGCATGGGGCTGAGAGGGGCCGAGGCCGCCTGGGAGCCGGTGGTGAGGTCAGTTCGGGTGCTGGACACCCACTGGGTTGCAGGCACTGAGGGCCGCCGGCGGCCCGTGGCTGCAGGCTGCACCCTGGCCCTGCCGCCCGTGTCCTGGGGTTGTGGGCTGTGCCTGGCTGGCTGGCTGGAGCTTTTCAGGAGCGGCTGGCCAGTCCCCGCAGCTGAGCTGGATCAGGGAGGACTCGGGTGCGCCCGAGGTTTGCGTCATGACCAGGTCGTCCTGCCCGCCGGGAAGGGCTGGGCAGCTCTCTGGGGAGGACTCCACCTGAATCTGGCCCTGGTCCCGGGACACCGCCCGCGGGGCTCGCGGGTGGGGTACAGGAAGTGTCCAGGTCAGAGTCTGTGTCCCGGGGCCCTTTCCCCCAGCGGCCTGTCAGAAGTCCAGTCACCTTGCCCCGTCATGGACCCAGGAAGCGATGGGCCCCATGAGATAGTAGCTTGCGGAACTGGCCACAGACCCGCTTTCTGGGCCGTCCTGTCCCCAGGCCTCCCAGCTAGTGCACATGGTGGCATCCGGGCGGGGTCCCGGGTACGTGGCGGCAACCTTCGGGGTGAGCCTCTTACCTCTGCGTCCGAGCTGTGGCCCCGCCGGTCACTCCCACGCAGGGCAGGGCCTGATTCCAGGTAGGTCCCAGCCCGGCAGCCACGGGCCTGGAGTCAAGGTACAGGGAAGCCCCTCCTCCATGGACCTGAGGTTCGTGAGTCTAGTTGATCCTCAGTGGTGTTTAACGTGTCTCTTGTGTTTAATTTTTAGTCAGACTTTGACCCGGCGTGGGCTTCAGTGGTCGCCGTGGACGGGAGCCTAGGAGCTTTGGTTCGAGACAATTAAAGACGTGGGATGAGGATCCAGTGACAGGACGCGGTTCTGCAGGGGGATTCTGAAGATAGACGCTTTGAACAGTCGAATTCATGGTCGTGGAAGCCGAGCCCATATTAAGAGATGTCAGGTTGGTCGGGGCTCGGGAGAGCGAGGCCGCCGAGGCCGGTGTCTCCGTGGCCGTGGAGGAGGCGCCGCTCTGGGGCCCCCTGCGTGTGCTGGGGTTAGGACAGGGGCGTCCCGAGTGGGCGAGTCGCCCACGCCAGCGAGGCCTCGGTCGGGCCTGACGTTTGCCGTGGGGTTTGCTTCTGTCGAGGGAGGGGCGCCCGGCCAGGCCGCAGGTCGGCGCGGGGTTTCTTGGGATGTTCCCGTGGACACGCGGTTGGGAGCCCTCCCGGTCGCGGTGCCCTCCGTTGGGGCTTCCCGTTCTCTCTGACCGCTAGGCGCTTCAGACGAGGCTCTGCAAGCACCTTTCAGCTAAGGCACCTTCGCAGACCTGGAGGGCTTGGTTTCTTACGGTCGGTCGCGTGGATCGATGTTGGGCAAAGTTCCAGCTGAGTGAGGCTGGGAGCGGGTGTTTGTCACGCGCTAAAATGAGTAACGTCTTTAAGTGAGACGTCGCTGTTCTCCCAGTGGAGCTGGAGAGACCAGGGCACCATCTGCACAGGACTCCCGCCGTCGCACCACAGACAGAGGGGGCCTGGACGCTCTGCTCGTGACGCGGGGGGAGGTGACCAAGGAGGTCCTGGCCTTTGGACCTCACGCCAGGAGCCCTCCCGGCGGTCCTGGCGCCTTTGCCGCCGGTCCTGACGGCCGTGCGCTCTCGGGAGTGGTGGGCGCTGGCAGGCCGCCGCGGAACCTGCACCCGGTTCTCGTCCTGCACCTCGGGCGCCGGCTGCCACGTCCCAGGGTGAGCCTTGCGGGGCCGTGGTGAGGGGGTGGGCCGATGCGGCCACTGCTGTCTCGCGTGTCACCTGTGAAGCCCTCCCGTCTCCACCTGGGCCTCGTGTGGAGGGAGCGAGTTTTTAGTCTTTCTTCGCTGTCTCGTTTTGGGAAGGTGAGGGGTTCTGGCCTTCCTCCCGTGTCCTAATCCTTTTACCTTTACACTGTTTTTTGCTCCTCAAGCCTACAAGCAGAGGCGATGCTGGTGCTGGGTGGGTCCCTGCCGGGTTTTTGGGGGGCAACACCACGGCGTCGAGTGGAAGAGAAACACCGGGGGCGTCCCCGAGCCCGTCGTTCCAACCTGCGTGTCTGGACGCCAGCTGGAGCGCGGGGCTGCCAGGGGCTCTGCATCCCTGAGGCCCTGATCCGTGGAGGGGGGCAGTCACCACCGTCGGTGTCCACTCAGGCGGCAGTGAGCTGTGGCAAACACCAGTGTGTTTTCCTTCCTGATTTTTAACTTATTTTTGACAAAGATCCTGGTGGCTGGACACGTAGAATTGGAAGTTCTTGGGGTGGGCTGAGGTTCCAGCGGGGGCTGTGCTGCCGCGGGAAGCTGAGCATCCAGTCCTGTCGTTGCAGGCGTCCGACCTCCGATCATGAACGGGCCCCTGCACCCCCGGCCCCTGGTGGCACTGCTGGACGGCCGGGACTGCACGGTGGAGATGCCCATCCTGAAGGACGTGGCCACAGTGGCCTTCTGTGACGCACAGTCCACACAGGAGATCCACGAGAAGGTACCACGGGCGGGGGCGGGGAGGTGGGGAGCTGTGGCCTCGCCAGCGCTGAGGCAGGTGTCCCAGGGTTCCTGCCGGAGTGGGCAGGTGTGGCGCTGCCCTCACCACCTGGCCTGTCGGGAGGCGGGGGTGGGATGTCTCCATTATAACCAGTTCTCTCCCAGAAAGTGGCATCTGGGGATGTGGCTGCGGTGGACGGTGCTGGGGGCGGGCAGGCTGCACCTCCATCACCTGACTCAGGCTGCGGCAGTCGCCAGGACACCCCGAGCCTGTGCCACGTGGTTTGCAGCTCTCAGGTTCCCTGGGACAGGACGTATGTTAATCTGGTTTCTGTTTGTAGTCACAGCCAACCGGGTGCTTCAGAAGCACCTTTCTCCTGAGTCAGCTGAGGAAGCTGGACCAAGGTTTATAAAACCTAGGTGCTTCGGAGAGCCAACAGGGTCAGGAGAGGCCCCGATGCCACAGGGGTAGACAGGTTATGCCCGCCGGGCCGGGGCATCAGCTGTGCTGGAAGAGGCGGCTGAGAGGCTGGGGCGGCTTTGGCAGCCCCATGGGCTGGTGAGGTTGGAGCCCTGCTGGACCCTGGCTCTGGGCTGGACCCTTGGAGAAAGGACGAGCTGGAGCCAGATGCAGCTCACGTGTCCACCCACCGGCCCAGCAACGTCCACATCAAGCCCTGAACTTGGATTATAGGCAACCCTGTGCCCTATGCTCAGGTGGCTGGCAGAAGCAAGGGAGAGCGGTACTCTACGGGAAGAGACCGTAGGCCTGGGCCCCAGGTTGTTTCTGCAAATCACCTCCTAGCACGATGTTCATCACACAGTCGAAGATAACAAGATACTAGGAGAAGAAAGAACTGAGCGAAAACCAGCAGAGACAAAGGACTAGAGGGACCCACGGGGCCGGTGGGGTGTCTGCTGCTACAACCACAGCGTGAAAACCAAGCCTGAGCACTTCAGAAGGAGCTGGGAGCAGAAGACGTGACGATGGCAGAGGCTTCGGGGGAGTTTTTAGAAGATCTAGGAGCTGAAACAGCAAAGCTGAAAGTGAGAACTCACTGGGCAGACTCGACAGCCACTTGGGTCAGTGGCAGGACAGAGGCTTGGGGTGAGGGGGCCACGGTGGGGAGCCAGCCTCCGACAGAAGCCTCAGGGACTGAGGGGAGGGGATGGGCCACGGGCAAAATTTGATGAGAAAAAGGCTGACGATGGTTCAGAGCCGAGGGAAGGCAGCAGTAAGCGGGTGAGAAAAGTGCGGCAGCGTGCACGCCTGGGCGGCCTCTCCGGGAACTCGGGCTGGCAGTTTCCCAAAGCTGAGCAGGCTCGGGCCACCTGCCTGGCCATCCCAGTGCCAGTATTCCTCCCAGAGAAGCAAAGCACACGTCCACTCAGAAACCTCCCGCGAGCCCCCCCAGCAACTTTGTTCCTCGTGGCTGGAACCAGAGGGAACCAGGTGGCCTTCAGCCAGGGTACGGGTACCGAAGAGCCCCACTGGGCAGAGAAGGAAGGGTGAGCCACGGACACCGGCGTCGGCCAGGCCAGAGCAGCCAGCTCGTCAGGGTCACGGGCATTGTTACTCCAGCCAGCCACCATGACGGAGACAGCGAAGGGGACGGAGGTGCCAGGTTCAGGTGCTGCTAACACGTGGGTGTTTCTCTGTGGTGACGGCAGTCCTGCATTCTGTGTCCTGTTGTGAGGCGGCTACTCGAACAGACTCACGGTGAAGGTACACAGAACAGCCCACACGAGCAAGGACGAGACGGCCAAGGGCACTTGGGTGCACAGATGACCTCACCGGGCACAGGCTCGCTGCCCACCACGGGCCGGCTCGGGGACATGGGATCCCTCTCGTTCGTTGGCAGCTTCTTGTGAATCTTAAACTGTTTCAAACTAAAAAGATACTTTTTAAAAAACCAGTAGTGGAATGAAAAAGAGATATACCGAGAGAAATTTTTAAAAATTGTAAGCAGTACTAAAACAAGTTTTGCCAGTAAATTTGAAAACTAAACACAAAACGTGTTTTTTTCCAGAACTGTAACTTAGCAAAACTATTTCAAGTTAATGTAAAACCCAGGGCTTCCCTGGCGGCGCAGTGGTTGAGAGTCCGCCTGCCGATGCAGGGGACACAGGTTCGAGCCCTGGTCCGGGAAGATCCCACATGCCGCGGAACAACTGGGCCCGTGAGCCATGGCCGCTGAGCCTGCGCGTCTGGAGCCTGTGCTCCGCAATAGGAGAGGCCGCGACAGTGAGAGGCCCGCATACCGCGATGAGGAGTGGCCCCCCGCTCGCCGCAACTGGAGAAAGCCCTCGCACAGAAATGAAGACCCAACACAGCCAGAAATAAATAAAGGAATGAATGAATTAATGAATAAATGTTGACAGACCCCTGGGAAGGGGCATAGGGCCCTCAGAGCCCCACCTGACGGGCAGGCGGCATCCCCCCCGAGCCCTATGCCTCCTGACACCCACGGGAAGCCACAGCCAAGGCCTTGCCTGCCAGAGAAGAACAGGCAGAAAAAGTGTCCTGGGGACAGAATTTTATGCTCCTGACAGAAGACACGTTAGGACTGTGTAATTGGTGTCCTTAGGCCTGAGGTAACGCCTGATTGTACACCGAGCAGGACGCAGCGAGAAAGGAACCACAGGAGAACTAGAGGGAGCTCCTGGAAACTAAAATGGGAGCGGAAGCTTTAAACTGTAATAGGAAGCTCAGAAGACACAGTCAGGGGAAGCCCAGAGGAAAGATGGAAGCGACGAGGAATGAGGAGAGATTCGCAGACTCCTCAGGGGTGCCGTGCCCAGCTGGCCAGTGCAGCTGCTCTCAGGAGCCTCCCGTTTCCCATCCTGGGCAAGCACTTCCTTCCCCCTCTTTGCTGCCGGGGTGGCCAGATGACTAAGTGCAGCCAGGGAGAGGACAGCAGCCTTTGTGTGCAGAGCCACCTTCCCTCTTTCTGCTGGCTGGAAACCAGATGTGATGGTTGGAGCCTGGGCAGCCACCCAGACCACAAAAGGAAGCCATGTGGAGCCAGGGGAACCTGGGAATGGCGGGGCAGCAAGACAGGAGCCCAGGACCCCGGTGGCTCTGGAGCTGACACGGGGTCCGTGGACCACCTGGCTGCAGGCTTTGGCCTAGAAGGGAAATGTCAGCCTGTCTTACGCGTCACATCTGATCAGGGGTTTCTACCTCCTCACAGCTGGTTGGACGTCCGTCCGACGTTATTTGAGCGTTAAGGAGGAGAGACTGACATTTTCGCCACAACATGAGGAAAACTACCAAAGCTGAACGGAGGCTCCCGTGCTCCTGCCACGAACCCCGGACGAGTGTTGGGGGCCCCGAGAGGCCCTGCCATTCAGGATCCAGATTTCACCAGCGCCAGGGGTGGGGGACAAGAACCAGAGTGGCCCCAGCTGGGGGCGTCAAAGCTCCTGAGAGGAGGGTTTTAACCAGGCTCGCTCGCCCGCCCACACGCGGGGCCGGCGGAGGCGTTTCTCCCCTCCGCCGCTCTCTCCGAAGCTCCTCAGAGAAAGTCAGGTGCCCATGAGGTGGGGGTAGCCGTGGAAAAGGAAGACCTGGGGTCCCGTTGAGGGGCCGGGCCAGGGTGGGAGTGACACGGGGACACGCCTGGGGTTCCAGGGGCACCAGCGGGGGCCTTGTTGGAGTGGAGCACCCAGTCCCAGGAGGGATGCGCCGAGGCCGGGTAAGACATGAAATAAAATCCAAGGTAAACGCAGAAACAGGCATCGCAGCCAGTGGTGGGGTGGCTCCCGGCCGGTGGGACCTGCGGACCCCGGAGGCGGAGAGGAGTGGTCAGCCCGCGAGCCCTGGGGATGCTGGCCGGCGCCTTCACGCGCAGCCGCCGTCACCAAGAGTGAGAGGGGCGTCTGCAGGGAGCGTGTTTGCCCCTGGTCAGGACAGAACCGAACGTGGGCAGTTCTGTAGAAGGCACGTGTGGAAAGGAGGGGGCATCCGAGTACAAGGCAGTCAAAACAATCTCCCTGCAAAGAGAAATCACACAAAACAGGAGATTAGGGGTGAAGGAGACGTGTCTGCAGTGCGTGTAGCAGCCGGGGGGTGAACAGCTGGAACACTCAGACCTCTCAACCAACAGGAGGAAGACGATCCCACTAGGAAATGGGTGCGGGGGTGTGTGTGTGTGTGTGTGGACAAAACAGCGACCGCGGAGCAGGTGACACTGCCCCCCGACCCCCCAGGGACGAGCAAGACACACAGGGGCAGCCAGGCTGTCAGCTCGCAGGTCGGGTGGCGCTCCGGCAGGCCTGTGAGAACCTGTCTGCGGTCTTCAGCCCGCTGTCCCTCCACCTGGGCCATCTGTCATCGGGAAAGCCCTGGAGCTGTCTGGGAGTGTCATGCTTGGGGCCTCTAGCAGTTTTCACAGAACATGACCATCTGGAAAGATAAGAAGTCGCTGAGTGTGTGTGTGTGTGTGGGGTGTGTGTGCGTGAGTGAGTGATGCTGGGAGGGGAGACTCGGGCTGAGGTGCCCTGAGAGAGAGAGAGTGAGAGAGAGTGTGTGTGTGTGTGTGTGTGTGTGTGTGTGTGTGTGTGTGTGTGTGTGTGTGTGATGCTGGGAGGGGAGACTCGGGCTGAGGTGTCCTGAATGTGTATGTGTGTGTGATGCTGGGAGGGGAGACTCAGGCTGAGGAGGTGCCTTGACCAGTGGCCTGCCTCTGGTGTGGTGCCCAGTGAGTACCCCTCAGGCCCTCTGCTCTGAGCGCCTGGTCAGGTGGGCTGCGTTTCCTCCTGTGGACCTGAGGACACCAGGTCATTGACTAGCTGGTTACACAGCAGGTAGAGGCTGGCAGCAGTGGACGCTGGGAGGTCGGTGCCACACCGGGGGTGTCATGGCCACTTTGCAACCAGGAAAGGGGTCAGGAGCCGGCAGGAGCATGGACGGGGCAGTGTGGTGCCCGTGCAGTGCTCTCATCCTGTAGCTGGTACAGGGTGGGCGCTTCTCTGAGGGGAGCCTGGGCTCCCCTCTGAGAACAGTTCGCCGGATTACCCTGGGATTCAAGAGACGCTCAGTAAAAAAAGGACCAGGTGTGAAAAAAAAATTTACCCAGAAACGTACCTGGGTGACTGAGTCACACCCAGAAATGCAAATGAAAACTAAAATAACAGTTCCAGTTGGCGTGTGTCACACGGAGTATTTGGAAGTTGGGAATGCCTGGTACTGGGCGGTCGGTGATGATGGGCAGACTGTGCCCCGGGGGCAGCGGCAGCAGGATTGGAGCCTGAAGAGGTTCTGCAGGGATCCACTCACTTCTCACCTCAAGGAAACAAGCAAACGTGGGGTTTTGCTGCAGCGCAGCCGGCGCTGGAAGCCACAGTCTCCAGCTTTAGAAACGTTCAGACCGTCGTGGACCATCCCTGCTTAAAAGTGCAGCCCGGGGGCTTCGCTGGTGGCGCAGTGGCTGGGAGTCCGCCTGCCGATGCGGGGGACGCGGGTTCGTGCCCCGGTCCGGGAGGATCCCACATGCCGCGGAGCGGCTGGGCCCGTGGGCCGTGGCCG